CATGGTCAAGAATCTGAACAATAAATGCTGGCAGGGATGTGGGGAAAAAGGAGTCCTATTGCATTGTTGGTGGGAATGTCAACTAGTACAGCCATTCTGGATGGTGTCCTGGAGGTTCCTCAAAAATCTAAACAGAACTTCCCTATGACACACCCTTACAACTTTTGGGCATCTATCCAGAGGTTACAAGCCAGGATATCATAAAGACACTTGAGCATCCATGTTCAAGTCTGAATAGCCAAGTTATTGGCTTTTCACAATAGCCAAGCTATACAAACAACCCAGATGCCCTACAACAGATAAGTGGATTAATACAACATGGTACATATCATAATGGAGTTTTGCTCATCCATTAGAATAAGATTATGTCATTTGCATTTGTTCTAGGTCCTAGAACAAATAAAGCTAAGTGAGGCAAACCAAGCTCAGAGAAACAAACAGTGCGTGTTTTCTCTCAAATGTGGAAGCTAGATCTAAAATACAACTGGACATGGTAACTTATATGAAGCTCTATGTAGTCTCACACACACACACACACACACACACACACACACACACACACACAGTCAGACAAAAAGAGCATACGCTTAGGGGAGGAACCCAAAGGTGTAACTTCTCTGAACATTTGCAATATGATTTACACAAAACAAACTCCAAGAAATGGAAACATGGGTTTTATTGTTGTTATTGTTGCTATTGTTGTTGTTGGTGGTGTTTGTTTTTGTTTTGTTTTTTCTTTTAGGAGGGGCAAAGAGGGGTACAGAAAGGGAAGGAGGAAGGATTAACAAACATGATAGCAATCATGATATTCAGTGGAAAAATCACCTATGTAACTTGTGGACAGGAATGGAACATGGAAACCGGGGGAAAATAAAGGAAAGGGTAACACTGTCCAAAAACAAAAATGTATTCATTGCCTGACTTATAAAATGGTAGCTCCTCAGAACAGCGCATTAAGAGCGGCAATAAAATCATTATTTTTTAAATAATTATGTGCATGTTCTATAAGTTGCATGTTGCTTTGCCTAAGGCATTTTGGGGCATGGGTGGAAGGCAGTGAAAGACTAGCTCCTCCAAAAGAGATGAGCTGAGGGAAGATGGCTTTGGTGGCGGGAGAAAGGCCAGTCTTTTCTCTGCTTGGCTCTGGGCAGATTCTCCCCAATTCTGCCGAGGCATGAGCCTAACCCCTTTCCTCCCCTCCTCCCCCCCCAGGTCCTGCATGACCCCTCATGGTCTGGCACTGAAATCTGTCTCTAATGTTGCATTCTTGTTCCTCAAAAATGGCTCCCTAGCCAGGCGCCAGTGGCTCACCCCTGTAATCCTAGCTACTCGGGAGACTGAGATCTGAGGATTGCAGTTCAAAGCCAGCCTGGGCAGGAAAAGTCCATGAGACTCCTATCTCCAATAAACCACTCAGAAAACTGCAAGTGGCGCTGTGGCTCAAGTGGTAGAGTGCTAGCCTTGAGCTGAAGAACTCAGGGACAGTGCCCAGGCCCAGAGTTCAAGCCCCACGACTGACAAAAAAAAAAAAGGTCCCCAAACCAGAGAAGTCTCAGACCCCATCAACTCTGACTGCCCATTTGAGTTTGGTCTTTATTTTCCCTGGGCAAATGTCACACTAGGGGACACTTGTGTTCCCAGGGGAAATGGGAACAGCTCTACTTGCCTTGAGCCTCTCCCCAGCATCTTCTATCTCAGTTATGTTGTCAGCATGCTGCTGCTTCTTGGTGGCCAAATGCTGCAAACATTCTTGGATGAGCTTCTGATGGGAGGGAAGGAAAGAAAAAGCTGAAACACCATGTCATCCAGATAACAAGTGCTCATCTCCCCTCACCTGGGCTCTTTTTCAGAGGAGGTATCTGAGACTTGGAAGGTCTTGAGTCTTGCCTAGTAGTGTAGAAGATGGAGGATGAGCTGGGCCTCAGAGGGCCATGCCAGAGATTTCTCAGGTCTGGAGGGTCTCTCTTCCACCTTCCTAATCTCTACTTTCTGAAGCTCCTCTTTTTTCAAAGGTTTGCTCTCTTCTCCATCCCCAAGAAGTGTGGCAGCCACAATCTAGCTTTGTCTTCCTTACAGCTGGCCTTCCAGTGGCTATTGGGCCTGACCCCAGACTCTTCCTGGGGACCATGAAGGACAGGCACTCAGAAGCCTTTGATGAACCAAACAATTACTAGGACCTGCCAATGGCCATTGGAGGGCTGAGGCCCCAGGCAAATGATAACAAGCAAAAACTCCAGAGTGAGAGGAGACCAAAGGGACCCAGCTCTGAGTCCCAGCTCTGCTCCCTCACCTGTGTAAACCTCTGTCCTGGGAACTAAAGGAGGGATTGATTGGCCAATGGAGGTGCTCAACACGGGCTGATGTGTCATCTTAACCTCCAACAAACCTTCCCTATGAAGTGCACAACTTTGTTTATGCTGGTGCTAGGGCGTAAACTCTGGGCCAGGGTGCTGTCCCTTAGAATTTTTGCTAAGGAATGGACCACTTGAGCCACAGCTCCATTTCTGTGCACAGCTTTGTTTAAAGGATGGGGTAGACTCAGGAGAATGGTCATAACTCAAGCATAGCTTGGCCTTGGCTTGGAGAAGCGCACCCTGAGTATGGTAACTCAGAAGCCAGCTCCTGTTCATCACAGACCAAGAACATCCTAATTTCCAAGTGGCTATGCCCTCCAGCCATAGGTCCTTCTACCTCAGCACCTGCTGACACTCTACGCAAACTTTCAGGACCAGTTCCAATGGCCACCTCCCCTACCCAGCCTTCCAGGGCTTCCTATTTGTTTAACTGACCACTGCCTTGGACCCTCTAGTTACAGTGATTACTCCCCAATTACTGTCACTGTTCTCTCCCAGCCACCTCCTCCTGATCCATGGCACAAGTATGTGCTGAATGGATGTTTGATGATGGATATGTGGGTAGGTGAGTGGGCATGCAGATGGGAAAAGGGTGTATATAGGTAGAGGTGGGTAGACAGATGGAAGATAGAACAACTGTGGGAGACTCTTGAAACATTTCTGGAAGTAGGCTTGTTAACTCAGGCTTTTTTTTTTTTTAATGGTACTGGGATACTGGGATTTGAATTCAGGGCTAGCACTCTACCACTTGACACATGCCTCTAGCTAACCGCCCCCCCTCCATTTTTTTTTTTTTTTCTATTTTGGAGATTCTAGCAGATTTTTCTGCCCAGGCTAGCTTTAAACCCATGATCCACCAGATCTCAACCTCCTGAGTAGCTAGGATTACAGGCTAGGAGCTATTATCACAGCTATTTTATTTTATTTTTGGGGGGGGGTCCGGTTGTGGGGTCTGAACTCTGGGCCTGGGCACTGTCCCTCAGCTCTTCAGCTCAAGGCTAGCGCTCTACCACTTGAGCCACAGCGCCACTTACGGCTTTTTTCTTTTTGCTTATGTGGTGATGAGGAATCGAAACCAGGGCCTCATGCATGCAAAGCAAGTGCTCTACCACTGAGCCACCTTCTCAGCCCATTTTATAGCTATCAAAAAAGGCAGGTCCTGGAGGTTCTTGAACCCAAGATTCTACAAACAGCCTGATTTCACCTTGCAAGTTGTGACAGCAAGTCATTCTGAGCAGGATGGGGTCTCCAGGATGTAATGTCCTGAGGGCATAAGGTAGAGTTCATTGTGGACTTCTTAGGGGTGGCAGCACACCTGTTTCTGTTGACACAGAGGGCATCTAGCCCAGACTTCATGAAGCCCAGAGAGAGGGGAGCTTAGCCCAGTGCCTCCCACCCAGTGGGCCACAGGGCTGGAACAGAAATCCAAAGACAGGGCTGGGAAGGTGGCTCAGTAGTAGAGAGCTTGCCTTGCATGCATGAGACCCTGGGTTCGATTCCTCATCACCACATAAGCAAAAAGAAAAAAGCCGGAAGTAGAGCTGTGGCTCAAGTGGTAGAACGCTAGCCTTGAGCTGAAGAGCTGAGGGACAGTGCCTAGGCCCAGAGTTCAGGCCCCACGACTGGACCCCTCCCCCCCAAAAAAATCCAAAGACAATGGCTACACTACCATCAGCCCAGTGAGGACGACAAGGAGAGCATGGACTTTGTAGATGCCAGAATGCAAGGTTCAAGGCTAGCCTCTAGTTCCCAAACTAGCTTTTAGTTATCTGTATGGGGATGGTGCTGCAGATAACAGCGGGCCGAGGGCTGCCACTTGGAAGGGACCTGTCTGTGGAGGGCTCGGCAGTGGGCAGGTGTGCAGGTGCGCAGGTGGGCAGAGGCTTTCAGGCTTGCAAGACTGTTAGGGGAGTCAGTATCCAGTCGCTTTCTCAGGCCAGTTAGGATGGTCCAGAGCCACGCACAAACATCTTCTAAAGGGGTGCATAGTAGGGCTTTCCTCTCTTTCACTAGAAGGTAGCTTTTCTTCCAGCTCTGCTGTGGGCCTGTCATGGTGGGTGGATGAGGTCGAAGACATCTGGGTACCACAGGGGCTTCCCAAGTCCCCCCTTCCCGCCCAACCATCCTCCTCTGAAGTTTCACTGGTGTCTTGGCTCACCTTTGCTCTTCCCTGAGCCTCAGTCTCCCCATTTAGGTCTTCCTGCGGGACCTTGCGTTTCCAAGTGTTAACGGGGAAACCGGTGAAGGGAGCTGGGGCGCGCGCTCCTCGCCCGCCCCTCGCCCGTTACTCCGGCCCCCCCCTCGCACACCACACCCTCCCCCCTGCAGTGCCCCGCGGACCCCACCTGCACGCGCTCCGCCTCCTCCCGCGCCAGGCCCACCGGGTGGCCGCGGTGCTCGCCCAGCGCCGGGCAGAGCGCGCACACGCAGCGGCCGCAGCGGCGACAGAAGAGCTCGGCCGGGCGGTCGCTGTGTTCCGGGCAGCACCAGGCGCGCGCCTCCGCGAGCTCGGCGGGGTCCCCGCTGGTCCCGCACGGCGCCCCGCTGTCCGCCATGCCCAGCTCCCCGGATCCCGGAGCCGGCGCGCCGGCAGTGCCACGGGCGGGGCTCGCGGGAAGCGAAAGCGGCCCGGGGGTGGGGCGGGCCCCGGGGCGGCGAGGGCGGCATCGGCCCACGAGCGCGGGGCACCGGGTGCTCTGCGCCCGCCTGGGACTGGAGCGAAGTCTCCAAGGAAACGCGAAGCGGAAGGTAGGCATCGCGCTCCGCACACTGGGGCGCGGGTGTGCCCAAAGTGGCCGTGGCCGTCCCCGGAGGGCGCATCGGGGCGCATCCCCTGCCCTCCTGGGGAAGAGGGAGAGGGAGAGCCTCGAGAAAGCCTTTGCCTTGGGCTCAAATTTACATGACATTAGGCTCATACTGCCTGCCTTCGTCTATATGCTACTCCTTGTGGACATGCTTCTTTTTTCCTCTTTCCTTCCTGCTTCTCCAAATGAGCCTTGATTTGCTCATTTTGATTTAGGGATTTTGGCCTGTCACCTTTCTCCAGGAAGCCTTTCTTGCTTTTACTTCCCAGAGCAGCCTTCCCTGCCTGCCCCCATTTTGGCCCTCCCCATTTTCCTAACCAGGATGGAAAACGTTTTTTTGGTAGTGGTGATGCTCTGGAAGGTTCTACCTCTCCCCAGCCCCGTCTGGCCCCAACAATAGATGCTTAACTAGTATTTGTGGAACAAATCAAGAAAAGAAAGTTTCATTTATTAAAATGTCTAACCAGATGTTTATTATTTTGTTATTCTTATTCATTGCACAATTCCATGTCTTCCATTTTTACTTTTTGTATAGATGCGTTTTTGTGTGTTTGTGGTGCTGGGAATGGAACTTAGGGCTTTGAGCCTACTAGGCAGGTGCTCCACCACTGAGCTACATTCCCAGGCCTTTATTATTATTATTATTTTTACAAAGGTACAAGGCGTTTCAGAAACATGAAAACAAACTGTTTCAGGCACGGTTTCGTATTAAAAGCACAGATCAATTTCTGACTTCCTGTTTCCCACCAAGATTCAACCTCAAGTATCTTTCCAGGAAGCAGTTATTGTAGCGCTAAGTGGGCCATCAGCCACTGATCTCCAACTGCTGTCCTTATCTGCAGAAAGTTCCTGAGTCAACAGAAAGGGGCCTCCCAGGTGTGCAGGAAGGAGATTGGGGCTGCTCTGCCCATTTGGCTGGACCCTTTGTCATTGCAGGGTAGGTATGCTCACTCAGCTCAAGAACGTAAAAAACACAATTAAAAAAATAAGATGGCTTAAAAAAATACCTGATAAAAATTACCTATCCCTCTCCTTTGCTATGAAATAAATAATTTATTCTAGATGTAAAAAGGGAAAGGTTTGTTCAAAGCTGCCTGTGTCCTGTTTTTGAGTGTGAAGCCTGGATCCCTTGGGGGAGGGGAGGAGCACATTGGAAGGGCTGGGCTGGGCTGGGTGGGCAGCCACAGGCTGCTGGGCTCCCTCCCCAGCTGCAACCTGAGACCTCAGGGTTAGGATGTGCTGACTTGTGGGAGATAGCACGCACCAGTGGGTGGAGGTGGGAAGTGCTGCGCACAAATGCAGTGGGGGAGCTAATCCCACCTAGGGGTGCTCTGCTTCCCTGGTCATGCCCATGCTTGGCCTTTTCCTCCAGAGCACAGTATGAGAAGCTTGGCTGGTGCATCATGGGAGCCTGAGTCCCAATGACGGAAGAAGTAAGTGATTGAGGGATGGGGTCTGTGACGAGTTAGATGGGGTACCAGCTATGGGTAGGGTGTAAGGGCAGATGGGAGTACTGAGTTTTGAGTCCTAGGTCCTGTCTGGTGCTCATTCTTTACTTTGATGAGTGCCAAGAGGTGCAGAGGGATGAGCTGGTCTCTGCTCTTAACTTTCTTGTTGCAGCTCGGCTTTGTGTTCACACAGCCCGCCAGGCTCTTGTCTGCAGTCAGCTTCCGGATTCCCTGGGAGGGGCCTGGGCATCTGTATTTCCTGACATACACTGTGGGCCCAAAGCTATGCTGGGTGGCTCTCCTACAGTGGCCATCCAGAAGGACCCAGTGAGAGAGGCCAGTGTGTGTGTGGTCTGTGCCCCCAGGTTAAGGAGCAGCCACAGAAAAGTCTCAGCTCTCATTCTCCCTAGGGATGAGGGCTGGCCCCTGAGAAAGAGCAAGCTCAGAGCAGCACTCAGGACATAGATCCACAGGGCAGGGACACCCACTTGGCCTTTGGACCGCATTTTTGGCCCTAGTCCTACTTCCTCTCCAGCGTGTGTGTGTGTGTGTGTGTGTGTGTGTGTGTGTGTGTGTGTGTGACGGGGTGGCTCTGCACATCCTGTACTGGGGTTCTCCACCTCCATGGGTCCCCTCTGCTATCTTGGAGGAGGCAGGCTGTCACCAAGAAGTCACAGATAGCTCTGTAGGTAGACCCTACTATCTATATCCCTGGGTCAGGCCGATTGTGGGGGAAAGAATCTGGCTGACTCTCGGTTCACTCGCCCTCAGGTTAAAGCCTCCTGGGCCCCTTTATAGCCAACCTAGGTCATGAGCACCATGCAGGGTCAAGTCAAGGTTGCTGGTAGCCCGTCCTACTGAGGCTCACACCAGGTGTGCCTGGTTCAGAAGGAGAAACGGAAAATAAAGAGGACTTTGGAAGAGGTCACCAAGTAAGCTGAACACAGCCAAGGCCAAAACCAGTTGAGTTCAGGGTGAGAAACGGCAGACAGACAAATAGACAGACAGACCCAGGAGAGCAGGATCTCAAGCCCAACCCTGCTGTGATCCTACTAGCTTCTCCTACAGATTTCTCCACCTGTAAAATGAGGGAATTGGGCCAGATCACTCGTTTACAAATGTAAAAACAAAAAATGACCACTTGCTATCTCGGGTCCAGCTCTTACTTTCTACAATGTTCTTTTCCCCCCTCAAGAACTTCTAGCCATAGCAGACCCTTAACTGAATTCAGCAGGAGGCAAAGTGTCATCTAAACAAAGTCAGGACAAAACCGCTGTTGAAAGAAGGCAAAGAGAAACACCGGCTCCGAGTCCCACTGCAATCTCTTTCCAAGGCCGAGAGTTTTGTCTTCTCGTAAAAAATATAGAAATAGTGGTTGTTCTTGGGACTTGTGGTTTGGTTCTGGACCTCCCCACAGAGCCGAGTGGTGTCCCTGAGGTGAGGGTGGCAGAGGCCTCTGCTCAGTACTGTCCCAAACTCATCTGCAGGTTTTTGATCTCCAGTTCCAGCTGCTTGGCCTGGACCTCTCGCTGTGTCACCAGTTCACGGAGCCTTCGAATCTCTTCCTGCTGTCTGTAGAACATCTGTAGCAGCTGGGAAAGCAGAGATCAGAGGACAGAGTTACCTGGCTAGCCTGGGATGCTGGGGCAGGGCACTAGAAGACCAAAACACCACCCCACCCTTTTTTAGTGATACTAGAATTTGAACTCAGTGCTTCATGCTTGGAAGAGGTAGTTGCTCTGCCACTTGAGCCATGCCCAGACATTAAAAATAATTTTGATACTATTAACATGATATACAGAAGGGCTACAATTTCATAAGTCAGATAATGAGTACATTTTTTTTGGATAATATCACCCCTTCCTTTACTTTTCCCCAGTTTCTCTCTTTCATTCCTTGTCCATAAGTTACACAGGTCATTTTCCACCATAGTGTATACTGAAGACCACTGTTGCATTTGTTCACTCTTCCTCCCTCCCTTTCTGCACCTTTACTTTACCAACCCAGGAGAAAAAAAACCCCAAAGTAAAAACATATACCACCACTAATAACATAACAAAAAAACCTCCATGTTTCCATTTCCTGGTGTTCATTTCAATAAATAGTTTAAATGTTCAGAGGAGTTACACCTTTGGGTTCCTCCCTTAAGGGTATCTATCTGCCTTTAGTCTGGCTGACTGTATGTGAATGCCTAGAATCCTATGTAGGTTTTCAGCTTATCATGTCCAGGGGTATTTTAGGTCTACCTTTGACATCTGGGAGAAAACATGTGCCATTTGTCTCTGAGCTTGGCTTACCTCACTTAACATGATTCATTGTTCCATTTCCCTGAAAATGACATAATCTTATTCTTTCTAATGGGTGAATATATTTTTTTCCAGTCGTGGGTTGTAAACTCTGGGCCTGGGTGCTGTCCCTGAGCTCTTTGGCTCAAGGTTAGTGATCTACTATTTGAGCCACAGCGCCACTTCTGGTATTCTGAGTGGTCTTATTGGAGAGACTCACGGACTTTCCTGCCTAAGCTGGCTTTGAACTGTGATCCTCAGATCTCAGCCTCCTGAGTAGCTAGGTTTACAGGTGTGAGCCACCAGCACCAGCTTGTAGGGAAATTCTATGTTTAGGCTTTTTGTTTTTGTTTTTTTTAAGAATCTCCAAACCTGGGGCTGGGAAGGTGGCTCAGTGGTAGAGCGCTTGCCTTGCATGCTTAACGCCCTAGGTTCGATTCCTCAGCACCACATAAGCAGAAAAAAAAAAGCCGGAAGTGGCGCTGTGGCTCAAGTGGTACAGTGCTAGCCTTGAGCTGAAGAGCTGAAGGATAGCACCCAGGCCAAGAGTTCAGGCCCCACGACCGGACCCCCCCGCCCCCCCCCAAAAAAAAGAATCTCCAAACCTCCTTCCAGAATGGTTGCACTAGTTTACATTTCCAAAAGTGAAGTAGGGTTCCTTTCTCCCCACATCCCTGCCAGCATTTGTTGTTGTCCAAATACATGTTGGCCAATTTAACTGGGGTGACATGGAATCTCAGAGTTGTTTTGATTTACATTTCCTTTATGGCCAGGGATGTTGAGCATTTCCTCATGTGCCAATTTGCCATTCTTCTTCTAAGAAGGCTCTCCTTGGCTCCTTTGCCCTTTTATTGATTAGTTCCCTTAGCCATGTTTGCTTTCATTATTCAGATAGGGTGTACAAGTTTGCCTGAGTGGAGTTTGGACTACCTACTATAGCCTCCAAGAGTAGCTGGGTGATAGTCATGTGCCACCACATCTAGCTTGTTCCTTTTTTTTTTTTTTTTTTTAATTTAATTTTATTGTAAAGCTACTATACAGAGGGTTACAGTTACATGAGTGAGGTAATGAGTACACTTCCTCTTGAACATTGTTACCCCCTCCATTGTTTTCCCCCTACCATCCCCTCCCTCCCTCCCTTCCCCGAGGTTCTTTTTTTTTTGATTGTGATTAAATGATTACATAATTTCAAAGTCACAAGTTCATTCTAACTTCCCTGGAGCAAATTGTCTACCACAGTCTGTAATATATAACAGTGTTTACATGTTATATACCATGTTTGTGATCAGCAGCATGGGGATATTTAGTAGTGGTTCAACCAGATGAGCGGGAGTTCTTTGTTTCTTAAGTCCTGTTAGTTTTGTCGTATCACCTAACCTTTTGGATTTAGCATCCACTTATCAGGGAGACCATGTACCGTTTGTCTCTTTGTTCTTGGCTTACCTCGCTCAACATGATTCCTTCTAGCTCCATCCATTTCCCTGCAAATGCCATTATAGCTTGTTCTTTGAAATTAGGTCTTGATAATTTTTTTTGGAGGGGGGAGGACAGGCCTTCACTTTTCAAGGCCTCCCATGGAGCTGAGATTACAGGCATGAACCCCTTTTGCCCAATACTGCCACTTTCTGACTCAAGCAGAGGTGATAACATTAACAAGGGAGAACCATGATGCCTATCTGCTACAAAGTCTTGTTTATTTCATCCAGCAAGTGAAATTCAAAAAGGCTTGAATGCTTCCTGAGGACTGGAGGACAGGATATTCTGTCCTGATGTCTAGAGATCGGTGTTTTACCAATCTGTGGGTGAGTCACCTACCTACTCTAAGCTTCAATCTCCTCTGGGAATGGGAGTCAGAAAGGTTACCTCACCATTCACACAGTACGGTTAGCAGTCTAGATCTTGGTGGGGAGAGTCGCTCCACCAAAGGGAAGTGAGCCCAGGTCTGAGGCCGTGGGCAGAGCCACCATCACCTCTGCATCCTCACTGACATGCCAGCCGTCTTATCAGCTCCTCCACACTGACCTCCAGGGCTGTGGAGAGAACTGAGTTCCAAGTACTGCCAAGGGCCTGCCTGCTCGCTCCAGAGCCTGGCACCCAGCAGACACTTAACAAAGCCAACTCTACCTTCTTTTTTGCAGTACTGAGGATTTGATCCAGGGTCTTTGCTGAGGCAGGTACTCTACCACTTGAGCCACAATCCCAAGCCCTAAAGGTTGATGCTGAAAGCTTAGAAAATTCCAGAAGGTTGGTGCTGTATAATGCTCTCCAGGTTAAATGTGAATTTTACAGATACTTCTTTGCCAGCAACTCACATTCTCTTGTTCATGTTGGTATAGACTCGGTGCTCAGAGCCTACTTATTATTGACTGAATTATTCAGGTAAGCCAAGGACCAGGCCAGGCCAGAGAGATGGCTGTATCTCTCATGCCCTTATTCCTCTGCCTTCTTCTAGGACCTTTCCATGGGGGGCTAAGCTGATCCCCTCTCCCAATACCCCCCCCCCCCACACACACACATGCCTGCTTTCCCTCATACCTCATTCTCCGTCTTTGGTGGAGGACATTCAAAAACATCAAAGCCATTTGTGAGCCAAGACTTCTTCTCTTCCAGCTGGTGTTCTGTTGTCCAACTTGTCACCTTCCCCTCTGGCAGAGAGCAGGACTTCCGGCCAACATCTACAGCCAGCTTTGCTGTAGGCCCCAAGGGCGGGCTTGAGGCAGAGGCCCCAGAAGTGGAGAGGGGTCTCTCTGGAGTCAGGGGCTGGGGACTCAGCAGCTGAGAGCCGGGCCTAAGAGACATCAGGACTGGATCTGGGAGGAAAACAAAAGGCTATCAGCGGACTGAGCAGCCCTAAGCAGATGGGCATAGGGCACCGACATAATGTAGGTGCCCCCATGACAGGCAGCCGCCTGCGTGCAGCTACCTACACAAAGGCTGGCGTGTGGGAACAGCAGAGCATGTGCACAAGAGCTACCCCAGAGGCCATGAGCTTGAGGGGAGAGGGCCACCCTCAGTGACCTCTGCCATCTACTAAGTTCATTGTCTGTTAGCACTCCAGGGAGCAAGGAAGGCAGGCACCACAATACAGAGGGAAGGTGGAGGCTGGAGGGAGGGTGCAGAGTCCAGATAAGTACCGCACAAAACTGGGAAATGACACTAGTCAGCAGGGTCAGGACTTCAGATCCTGGGGATATATGAACTATGGGAGTGTGCACCAGATATGGGTGGGGACATAGTTCTCCTCCTGCTGGGCTGATACTTGCACTGACAGAAGTGGACAGTCAGGCCAGGCAGTGGGCAGAGGAGGTAAATGCAATGTGTGGGTGGGGAACAGACAGGAGTCTAACCATAGTCACCTGATTAGCCTGAATATGACATCTTCCACAGGGAACATCCCTTGAGCTAGACTTCCTTCTTGTCTTCCTTCCCTTCCTATCTTCTTTCTTTCCCTTCCTTCCTTCTTTCCTTCCTTCCTTCCTTCCTTCCTTCCTTCCTTCCTTCCTTCCTTCCTTCTTTCTCTTCCTTTCTTCTCTCTTTTCCTTGCTGCCCCTTAGTTCTTTTGCTCAAGTCTAGTGCTCTACCACTTGAGCCACAGCTCTACTTCTGGCCTTTTGCTAGTAAATAGTTTCCTAGGCTTTCCTGCCCAGGCTGGGTTTGAACTGCAGTCTTTGGATCTCAGCCTCCTACTAGCGAGGATTACAGGTGTGAGCCGCCAGTGCCAGGCTGAGCTGGAGTTTCGGAGTGCCTTGGTGAAGCGCCTGACTCGCTAGCCCTATGTGTGATTGTAACCTGTGGGGACTGGCTGTCCTCTGAGACAGGACAAAAAAAATATAGGCAAAACCCTGCTCAGCCACTTGGGGCCACTGAAAAGCCAGTCTCCACTGCCCCCCCCCCCCCCCCCCCCCCCCCCCCCGCTGCCCTCAACTCTCTTGTTTTCCTCCTTCCTCACCTTTGTTCATCCCACTGAGCCACTCCTGGGCAGACAGGGAGGGCTGGGCCCCTGCCGTGGGTGGGTAGATGTCTTCTTGGTACGATTCCGACTGTAAGAGAACTCTGGACAGTGAGGGGATGGCCAAGGGGTGGCTGCCCACATGGGGAGGATTACCCCCACCCCTGCTGAGCTGAGGCCACCAAGGCCCAGATCTGCCCAGTGCACAACAAAGGTGGGCGAGGCCCAAGCCCCCAGGCCCCAGTGATGTCACACTGACCCTGAGCAGGGCCATTCCCCCAGTGAGGGCCCCTCAGCCCCTCCCCACCGTGGCTGTGCCCTCACAGCATAGGCCAGAGGTTTTGGGACCTGGGCATCCCAGGCCTGCCTCCTCCATGCCTTACCCGCCGGGGTACGATCATGGAGACGGGCTCAATGAGGCTTTTGGTTGTGATCAGCTTGTAGAAGCGGAAGATCTCGCAGGAGGACACGTCGAGACCTCTCTTTGGCATGACACCTGTGGATTGATGGCCAAAGAGGGTCAAGGCGTTCTAGTCAGGCTGGGCCCCGGTGGGCCTAGAGTACAAGGCAAAGCCAAGCTGAATACCCGGACCCTTAGTGGAGGCTGGGCCAGACCCTGGGCTAGAAAAATGGAATCAAAGTAACCAGATTCCTCTCCACCCTCAAGGGTTTCAATAGTTCTAGCTACAACCTCACGGGCACTAGCACGCTCTGCTCTACTCACCTACCTCCATCCCAAAGCCTCTGCTCCGTAACAGCTGCTTAGTCCGGTTAGCCTACTTTTGACTGACAGCACTGAGCCTGAAACTCAGGGCCTTGCATTTGCTAGGTGGGTGCTCTACCACTTGAGCCATGCCTCTAATCTTTTTTTTTTGGTGCTGGCACTGGGGCTGGAACTCCCCTGGGTTTTCTCCCTTTTTCCATTCCAGGCTGGCATTCTACTACTTGAGCTACACTTCCACTTCTAGTGTTTTGGTGGCTAATTGGAGATAAGCATCTTTTGGATTTGTCTCTCTGGGCTGGCTTCAGGAACCACGATCCTCACATTTCAGTATGTGGGGTAGCTAGGATTACAGGTGTGAGCCACTGGCGCCTGGTCTGGCTCCTTTTTACAAATTTTAGTTATTTTTCATATAGGGTTTTGTGTTCTTGCCCAGAGCTGGACTCCTCCCCCCGCTGGGATGACAGGCATTTAGTATTACATCTGGCTTTTTGGTTGAAGTGGGGATTTTTACCAACTTTTCACCTGGGCTAGCCTCAAACATCAGTCTTCCTGATCTCCAATTCCCAAGTAGTTGAGGTGACAGAAGTTACATTATGGTGGCTGGCTTCCAGTTTTCTATTCATTAGTGTTAGCATGGTATATCTGTCTTCAGTCCTTTACTTTTTAGTTGTTGTTATAAAGGTGATGTACAGAGGGGTTACAGCTACCTAAGTCAGATAATGAGTACATTTCTTTTTGAACAGTGTCACCCCCCCTTTCTTATTTTCTCCCAGTTTTTTTTTCCCCATCCAACCCATCTAGCCCCTTACTTTTTTTTTTTAAATCAACTTATGTGGATTTTTTTTTTTTTTTTGTCGGTCATGGGGCTTGAACTCTGGGCCTGGGCGCTGTCCCTCATCTCTTCAGCTCAAGGCTAGCGCTCTACCACTTGAGCCACAGAGCCACTTCCAGCTTTTTTTTCTCTTCTGCTTATGTGGTGCTGAGGAATCGAACCCAGGGCCTCTTGTATGCAAGGCAAGCGCTCTACCACTGAACTACCTTCCCAGCCCCCTGGACTTCTTAAAAGTAGCATATAGTTGGATCTTTCTAAACTACTACATTTAGAAAGGAGCAGGGCTTGATTGCTGGAAATCCCTTTAGGTCAATGTGTTTCATCTCTCTGACACTATGGCCCGAGCCATGTCCTTCTCTCCTAGCCATGCTCTTCATCCTCTTTCAGTTCCTCTACTACTGCTTCCTCCAGGAAGCCCCCCTGGCTGGCTCCTTTGTGCTGCCCTACACCTCAGAGACAGCCCTACTGTAGTTTGAGGGTCCCCCACCCAAGGTTTCATATGTGGCAATAAAATTCCCACTGGGCAGTATGAAAGCGGATGGCGATGTAATGTGTGTGCGGTGTTTAGGGTGGGAGTCTGGGAGGGAATATACGCATCATGGGACGTCCCGCCTGTCTCAGGACTCAGCCAGCACAAAGGATGTTGCTAAGGGCCGCCCCTCCGCCCTGGACCTCCTGAACCATGAGCCCAGACACATCTCCTTTGGTTAAATCCTTTGGTGAGCAGCACTGTGTGATGGGCACCAGAACCAAGCACTAAGGCCCACAGGTCAGCCCTGCTGTACCTCCTGCCTCCCCTCCTGTGGCTGCCCGGCCAGCCCCGACTCACCGATCCCCTTCTGCGGGTTATAGGAGCGGTATTCAGTCAGGTAGTTGAGGTGCGGCTTGTCGGCGCTCACCTCGTAGTAGCGGATGTTGCCATCACCCTGAGGCAGGGAGGGCAAAGGTCAGAGCCGGCCATCAGGGCTGCCCTGCCCACACAGTGGCCAGGCAGCAGAACCCTGGCCTTGCGTGAACCCCAGGGGATCCAGGGAATGCACCCTACTGCCAGTGAAGGAAGAGAGGTCAACCCGCCCTCTAACCAGGACCTACACACCCTGAGGACAGGCCCAAGTCTCAAGAGAGGCTGTCTTCAGAGACCACCAGTGGATCTTACCCCTGGGGGGAATTTCTGGTTGTCATGGTGACCTGAGGCCAGAGGGACTTGGTCTCTGTTGGGATAACAAGTGCTCTCCTTGTCTCCTCTCTGTACCCCCAGAGTCCAGGGCTGCCGTGGAGACAGCTGTGGAGCTGAGCTCGGACCCTTCCTGCCTCCCCGTCTGGCTGGACTGACCTTCCCCACCACGTAGAGCATGTTGGTGTCTGGGTCGTAGAAGGGGAACAGCACGCCCGAGGAGCCGTCCAGGTCCTCTTCGGTGAGAGGCACTGACAGGTCTTCCTGCAAGGGGAGGGAGTCAGGAAGGCTTGTGAGTTAGAGACCTGGTACCCCAGGGCAGTGTGCATGTGTGTGCACACATACATGTGTGTATCATCACCCTCACCCAAAGGATGTGTCTATATGGGCATGAGTGTTTGTCTGTGTACCCATACAGGTACAAGACAAAACGTGACCTCGTGGGTGCAGAGGGTACCTGTGTACATGTATGTATCTCACCACCCTTTCTGAAAGGGTATGCATGCATAAAGGTTCATGTGTGTTTATGCATACACACATGCACGTAAGACAAACTCGATCTACCATGTACATATGTGTACATATATCTACCTCACTCTTGCTGAAAGGACATGCATGTATGTGCATTTATGTTGTGTGTGTGTGTATGTGCGTGTATGAGAGGGAGAGAGAGAGTGATTGGAGATTGAACCCAGGCCTGGTGCTTTCTGGGTAGGCACTCTACTACCCTCTGCCTCCTGCGTAGCTGGAGTCATAGCTGGCTTAGCAAGTCTCTCTCTTTTTTTGGTTATTGGCTGTGGTGCTTGAACTTAGTGTCTGGGTGCTATCCCTGAGCTTTTTGTGCTCCAGGATAGCACTATACCACTTTGAGTCACAGCTCTACTTCTGGCTTTTTTTTTTTTTGTGGTTAATTGGAGATAAGAGTCTCACAGACTTTTCTGCCCAGATTGGCTTCAAACTGTGATCCTCAGATCTCAGCCCCTCCTGAGTAGCTAGGATTACAGGTGTGAGCCACCAGCACCTGGCTAGCAAGCCATTTTTGGCATACCTGATCTCACATATCTCTACCCTGCTCTGAGTTTATTTTCTCCTTTATCTGGATGGATGAAGGTTCTGTCCAGTCTCTGAAGCATGTGCCAAGTGCTCCTTCCAGACAGCACTGCCAGGCAACCCTTCTCCCTCAGCTGCCCATCCATTAAGCTTATTAGCCTTACACTGGGGGCCTGTCTCCAGCTGTGCCCTTCTCCCCCCAGGGCCCCGCCCATCTCCCTCCTGAATGACAAGAGGTAAAGCCAATGGGCTGTTGACCTCTCCTGTCCCTGGCTTCTGTATACCAGATAGATGAGGCTGAGGGTGGTGGGAAGGGTAAGGAGGGTGTGGAGACTCACCTGGTTCCACAGGACCATCTGCCGGTTGTTCCAGCGGGATGTGCCTGTGGACAGCAGCTTTTTCATGCTCCCCAGAAACAGCACCTTGTTGGCGCGGTGCTCCTTGTAGCTGGCTTCCTGGAGAGACATGTGTGTCAATTCAGGGGGATCCTGCCTGGGGCTCCTGGTTGCAGCTGGGGCTTCTGGCCTCCTTCTCTTACCCAGCCCTCTGGAGACCATCCCTCAGGGGGACACCACCTCCAGGAAGCCATGTAGAGTCTTTCCCTACTCTTGTCTAGAAGTTGGTGTTTCTGAGCTAGGATAGGCAATCTCTGTCCTGATTCATACTTGCTAATAGCCTATGCCAAGCATACTTGCCTGGCACCTATGCCAAGCAAGGCACAGAGCTGGATGTGCACTGCACCCAGCGTGTCCAATCTGATCCTCAATGAGGAAGGATTGAAAGGGGCAGAGTGCTTGCCTAAGGGTACTCAGTAGGGCCTCGGTCTCCTGACCCAGAACAGCAACCTAGAACAGAGCTGAGGCATTCTGACCAACTTCCACAGCTTGATGTGGGTATGTCACTTCTTTTTTGGTCTCATTTTATCTGAAAAGTAGGCGTGGCCCATCTTTCTTTATGCTGCCTAGCCCAGCCGTCCATGGCAGTCCTGGCACACTTCCCTCAGAGTCTCCTCAGCCTGCACTGACCTGCAGGACGGTCCCTAACCGGGGATCGAGAATGCGAATCTTGCGGTCTTTACAGGTGGTGGCCAGCAGGCTGCCGTTGGTGTTGAAGGACATTGAGAGGATGACGTCTTGGTGACAGGCGATTGTCTTCACAGGGCTCATGATGACAGATTCCTTTGTGTCCAGGTTCCAGATCATCACCTGCATGGCAGAATGCTGGATCTGAGCACCATGGCCTGACCCACACAGTTCACAGGGTTACACATGGTCCCCCCCTCCCCCCTCCCCCCCCCGTGTGTGTGTGTGTGTGTGTGTGTGTGTGTGTGTGTGTGTGTATGTGTATGTAGCTGGCTGCCTGGCCCACAGCATGGGGTGGAAGCTGGAGTCAAACTAGCTTGGTGGAGGATCAATACCATCTTTCTCTGCCCGTGCTGGGAGGACCCCAGGGGACCAGATGATCCAGTTTTCGAATCGTTATTAGAAGCGTTTTTCACTTTACTTGGCTAACCAGGGCTGCCATGGCTAGGTGCACAGGCTGTGCTCTGCACATCTCCAAGGCAACCCATAGCCACAGTTTGTGTGTGCGTAGCGCCCCCTGGAGGTGGGGATGGAATACCTCCGTTGGACATGTAGACATACCTCACATAAAGAGCAGAAGGCCGCAGAAAGCCAGAGCTCCCGGGGACAGCTCCTACTCCTCCAAATCTACCACAGAAGCCCCTGAGGTGCAACTGCAAACTCCCATGGAAATAGAAGGGCCGAGAAACCAATGCTGGGGGGCCAGTGACCTGATTTACCTACCCACTGGGAAAGAGACCCAGGGAGGCCAGAGGACTGGGCTGCATTCCAAGGGGTGAGTCAGAGGCAGGGATGCAGAGCACCCATGCCTCCTGGGCTGTGAAGTGTCCCACTCTCCACGGCCCACTGACTGCTTGCTGGGCAGTCAGGGCAGGGGAAGAGTCTTGGAGGGCCCAGCCTGTCTCTGGCAGACAGATTATAAAGGGTTGACATGTCCACTTAGACCCTTCATGTGGAACCTTATTTGGAAATAGGGTCAGATGTAGTTAAAGTGTGGTCATGATAAATCAGGGTGGGCCCTAAATCCAACAGCAGCTTTTTCATAAACAAGAGAGGACACTGAGGTGTCCTTATTCATGCAAGTCTCCCTCTGTCAACTTTCATGACTGTTTACAGTCACCCGTGATAGGATCTGACACAGGAACATGAATCTGGATAGGTCTCGTTAGATGAGCAGAAGCTATGTACCCATTTTTACAGATGGGGAAAACCAAGTCTCACTGCACCCAGAGCTTCTCTGTGATCTCTGACACCATCCCCCCATGCAGCAACCTCAACTAGGTGATGAAGGAGCCCAGTGGAGTCCAGTGGGCAGGGAGCCAAATGGACGCTAGATGAGGTGCGTAGGGGTCTCCCTCTGCCGCTGATGGCAGCTGAATCTGGATCTCCGGTCTCTACCACCGTGAGAACTCCTGGCTTGTAGTGATGGGTCATAACAGCACACACAGACTCACCTTGTAGTCGTAGCCGGCACTGAAGAGGATGTTGGCGGCAGTAGGGTGCCACTCCACCAGGCCCACTCTGCGTGCATGACCCACCAGCTCCTTGCTATAGGTTGTGAGGTTCCTGGTCAGCAGCTGCTTGGGGATGTCCCAGATCTTAATCTGCCAGGAGAGACATGGGCCAGGGAAGGTGAGGCTGGGGCCTTGACCCGCCTATGTCTTAGATCTGGCAGTGTCTTCTGGAAGGACTAGGACAGCACTCTCCATGGCTTCCACCCTCAGCAGAGGGGCAGCTGGGCCTTTCAGAGTACCAGTGGAACCCTGGCCAGGGAAGAGGCTTTGTTTCTAGGTCTGCCCCAGGGGCCTTTGCCACCATGATGGCCTAGGTTGAGGGGCCGGTGTGTGGGCTGCAAGCCTATCTCCCAGATGGCATGGCATCTCAAATGCCAGGATGAAGGGTCTGTGTTCCAGTCACTAAGAGAGACACTGTAGGCTGTGGAGCAGGGCAGGGCAGGGATAAACATGTCCATTTGAAGGAATACATGGATGACCGGGAAAGGGAGAGAACTAAAGTCCAGGAGGCCAGGCTGAGACTTCCTTCCAGAGTGGAATAATCTGAAGATGGAAGGAGTTGTCATGACCGCCAGGCATGGAGGAATACCAAGGCGTAGTGTTAGGCCCAGGGAGGCAACAGAGGGAGTTGGAGCTATTTTGATGTTCCTTATGGTCCTGCAAGGTTCTCAGGTCCCAGTGTCATGCGCAGGTATTCAGGGAGACAGTTTTGCTTCCAGTTGAGCAACGTTTCCTTCTGGGTCATCCTGGCTTTAAAACTAGGAAGTGAACTCTCCCTGGAGTGTGGCCAGATGCCACTCACAGCTGACTGGTGAGGGTGGTCACTGCTCAAGGCTGGCTGTGGTCATACCCTGACACTAAAGACAGGGGGGCAGGGAGGAGGCAACCGAGCACTTGCATGGGTGCATCTACAGGGAAGGGATTACTGCTGCCCTCAGTCCTGTCTTTCCTGTCCTTTCCCCTCTCCTGGGGCATCTAGAAGGAACAGTGGCAGGCCATGGGGCCTGAAATAAAGACCATTCAGGGCAAATGTACATGAGGCAGCCAGGGCTAAAAACCTGGAGTCTTGAGGCCTGGGGCGCTGTCCCTGAGTGCCTTTGCTCAAGGCTAGTGCTCTACCACTTTGAACCACAGCGCAACTTACAGTTTTCAGATGGTTAATTGGAAATAAGAGTCTTAGGGACCTTCCTGCCCAGGCTGGTTTTGAACCTTCATCTTCAGTTCTCAGCCTCCTGAGTAGCTAGGATTACAGGTGTGAGCCACCAGTGTCTGACCTCTGTGTATTTTTTGAGACAAGGTCTCAGTATGTAGGCTAGCCTGGTTTCAAATTCATGCTCCCATTTCAATCTCCCTAGTGTTGAGAATACAGGCATGTACCACCATATCTGGTCTTCTCAGGTTCTTCTGTTTTCCTTTCTTGATGAACTAATCTGTTTCCTTTGATCAAACAATAAGCATTCTGCAACACTTTGTTTCTCTCTCTTTTTTTTTGGTCGGTCGTGGGGCTTGAACTCTGGGCCTGGGCGCTGTCCCTCAGCTCTTCAGCTCAAGGCGAGTGCTCTACCACTTGAGCTACAGTGCCACTTCCGGTTTTCTGGTGGTTTATTGGAGATAGGAGTCTCACGGTCTCTCCTGCCCGGGCTGGCTTTGAACCGCGATCCTCAGATCTCAGCCTCCTGAGTAGCTAGGATTACAGGCGTGAGCCACCAGCGCCCGGCTTTTGTTTCTCTTTTTGCCTTAGCAAAATATCATGCCTGGTATGATATTTTTTTTTAATTTTATTGTGAAAATACTGTACAGAGTGGCTACAATTACATGGGCAAGATAATGAGTACATTTCTTATCAAGCATTGTAGCCTCCTCTTTTGTTTCCCCTTCCCATCCTTTCTCATCCTTCCCTCGCACCCCCCCCCACCCAATCCTCCCCCCCCACCAAAGTTGTAAAGTTTGTTTTCGACATAACGACTTGTACATGGTATGATGTTTTTGTTGGGAAGACTGAGCTGCAGCGAAGTAACAGGAGTCAGGGGTACGGTGGGATCACAAGAAACAGTAGCCATGGCATCGACTTGACTTTCATCTCTTGGTTGCATTTGCTTTATACATCACAACCACTGTATTAAAAGCAGGCACAGAATGAATTAGAAGTAACTGACAGTGAACATTGTGGGGGCTGGAAATATGTCCTTGGCATAGAGAAGGAGCGCAAGAGAGTTGGTAAAAAGCTTGGCACTATCCTCACTTCCAAGTAGCTGGGATTACAGGTATGAGCCACCATACCTGGCTGAGACTGTAGTCTTAAAAAAAACTGGGACCTTCTGGGATGGTTTAGGTGTCCATGTTCATGCAAGTCTCCCTCTGTCAACTTTCGTGACAGTTTACAGCCACCCCTGTGGTGGGATCTGTGGTGGGAATCTGGATAGGTCTTATTAGATGAGCAGAAGCTATGTGCCCATTTTTACAGATGGGGAAAACCAAGGCCTAGAGAGAGAAGGTGTGTCCCCTACCAAGTCTCACTGCACCCAGAACTTCTGTGATCTCTGACACCATCCCCCCATGCAGCAACCTCAACTAGGTAATGAAGGAGCCCAATGGAGCCCAGTGGGCAGCAGCCACCTCCCAGGCCTGCCCCGCCTGCCCCAGCCACCTCACCCATTCTTCTCAACTGAAGTGCACGTGCCCACTGGGGTGACACTCACCGTGGCATCTTCAGAACAGGAGGCGATCTGGAAGTCATTGAAAGGGTTCCACTTGATGTCTAAGACATTCCCTCTGTGTCCGCAGACCTTGGGGTAATGAGGGTCCAACTTTCCTGTCTGCAAAACAGTGCCCAGGGTTAGAGGGCAGCATGCAGGGTTGGAGTGAGGCATGGGGGGGGGGGAGCGCTGCACCCAGGGTTGGAGAAGAAAGCAGGCTAAGATCACTTGGTCAGCAGTGACCGAGTGAGCCGGACAGCGGGAGGGGTGGGTGTGAAGTGGATGTGAAGGTAGCCTGATCAGGCACCCAGTGTGTGCTTGAGGGGAGGGTCACTTCATGCCTTTGAGCCCTGGGTCCCCCTTTGGCAAAGTGGAGGAAATATTGGGAACTTCGTGGGTTGGTGTGAGGGCCACAAAGGCTGTATGCAAAGCACAGGCTGGATGTTGGGGAAAGGGCCCATCTTCATGCCCCACCGGGGGACACAATGCAAGTGGCAGCCTTCTAAAAGTCTGGAGCTCCTTCCAAGTTAACCAGAGTCACCACAGGACCTAGTATCCCCGGGAAAGATGACAGCACAGATCTACATGGAATGCATCCACCGTGTTCACAGCAGCAGCATTCATAACAGCCAGAGCTGGAGACAACTCAAATGTCCATCACAGGATAAATGGAATCGATAAAATATACCCATGCATCAGAATACTATTCAGCCAGAAGAAGGAACACAGCACTAATAATATGCCATGATATGGATGAACCTTGAAAACACGTTAAGCAAAAGAAACAGATTGGAAAAGTCACGTATTACCTAGGCACAGTGATGCATGCCTGGAACCTCAGTACTCAGGAGGCTGAGGCAGGAGGACCAGGAGTTTAAGGACAGCTTGGGTTACACAGTGATACTGTGTCTCAAAACTAACAAGCCCCAGTTACACTGGAAACTAAGCAGAGAGTCTAGAGATGGCAGCCAACTTGAGCAATATAGCCAGAGCACACTGCATGCACACATAGACCTACAGAGAGCCTACTTGGATGGTATGTAGATGTGGTTTCATTGATTGATCAAATGAGCACTTCTTCTAGTCCCTGCTATGCAGAGCCCTGGCTAATACCTATGAAACACCCAGAAAAGGTAAATTCATGGAGACAGAGCCAGAGTAGTGATGAGCTGGGGCTGGGGAGGAGGGCTGATGGGGAGGGACTGCTAATGACCAAGGAGGCTTTGTGTAATGAGTGCAACTGGAGAGTGATGGCAGCCTCGTGATATACAGCCCCAGTGCGCCGCTGAGCTTTACAATAAATGTGTTGAATTTTAGTTATAAATTGGGCACCCCCCTCCTTCCCCTTTCCTGCTCAGACTTCCTGTCTGCATCTCCTAGGAAGGGACATGGCGTCCTGTTGCCCATAGCTCCAAGGCTGAGGCTGAGATTCCCATCACACTAACAGACTTGGAATTCCAGGGACCAGGGACCGTCTTACCAGGAAAGTCATAGAACCCAGGGCTGGAACTGGCTAGCCCATTCCTTTCCACATCACGGTACACAGCCCTGTAGAGCTGGGACCAGACTCAGGACCCTGCAATGCTGTCACTGCCTGCTCAGGTACATCGGGGCTCATAGCTCCAAGGGAGAGCTGAGAAGAAATGATGTGGATGTGTGTACACTTAGCAAGAATCAAGATGGCATGCAAGGCACACACAAAGTAGTTCTTCATATAAAAACTTTTTTTTGGCTGAGCGCTGGTGGCTCATACCTGTAATCCTAGCTACTCAAGAGGCTGAAATCTGAGGATTGCCATTCAAAGCCAGCCTGGGTAAGAAAGTCTGTGCGATTCATCTCCAGTAAAACTACCAAAAGGCCAGAAGCTGTGACTCAAGTGGTAGAACGTTAGCTTTGAGTACAAAAAGTGTACAGAGACAGCATGTAGGCTCTGGGTTCAAGCCCCAGGATGCTGGATCTCACACATGCTGGGTAAGCTCTCTATTGCTGGAAAGCCAAACAGGCTGTGCTCAGTGCTCAGTAATAGTAGCTGTGGTTCCATGTGTGTGTATGCATATGTGATGTATGTCAAGGCCGAGAAAAACTGGAAGGAAATGTACTACATGTTAACCTACCTGATGGGATCATGATTTTTTTTTAACCATTTTTGTCTTTTGTTTGTGTGTGGGTCCTGTGGCTTGAACTCAGGGCCTGGGCACTGTCCCTGAGAGCCTCCTTTGCTCAAGGCTAGTGCTCTACCATGTTGACCCACAATGCCATTTCTGGTTTTCTGGGGGTTAATTGGAGATAAGAGTAGAGTCTCACAGACTTTCCTGCCCAGGCTGGCTTTGAACCATGATCCTCAGACCTTAGCCTCTTGAGTAGCTTTATAGGCATGAGCCACCAGCTCCTTATCTTTGTCTTTTTTTTTTTTTAAAGTGGTGTCTATTTGGCAAATGATAAAACGAATACCCAGATGTAGTGATGCATGCCTGTCACCCCAACATTTAGGAGGAAGAGAAGAAAAACTGATTCAGGGGCAAGCCTGGGTTACATAGTGCAACCCCATGTCAAGCCTAAAACAAAGCAACAAAGCAAGCCTCAAACAAAGTATTTAAGAAGAAAAAGACAGACTTTCTGAAACGATGAGCCTTTCTACAATTAGCGCCCCCCCAAAAAATGTCATAAAAGCTGCAAGTGCTTTTAAAGATTAGGAACAGTGAACAGCCCAGATGTTTATTTGGTACCTATCTCAGGCATTACGAATGGATCACAGCACTCATGATCTTGAAGAAGGCCAGATTGATAGAAGGACTCACTCTGGGTCACCAGGACTGGGAAGAACAGAGGCAGAGGCTTTCCCACCCCTTGTGTGAGTCTGTGGGGTGCTTTCTGTGCTGAGGGAGCAGCAGCCTTTTCTGAGTCAGAGTCCTGACCCACTTCCTGTATACAGTCTTTCCCTTTTCTTGGAGCATTTCCTGGGTCAAAGGGCATAGGGGCCTTTATCTCTGCTTTCTGGCCTGGGGCCAGGCCTTAATTTCTGCCCTGTGGGTTTCTCAGGAAAAGCTAATTGTCAGGCTGGCCTTGAGCTGACAGAGGGATGGGGTCACCTCGCAGGACACTCCCTCTGCCTCCAGCCAGCTGGAGCCCTGGCTCAGGCCAGCTCAGGGCAGCTCCTCTGGAGGCTGCACCGGGCCTCCAGAGTAGCAGCTTAGCAGCTCAGCCCTGGCTAGCTCTTCCTTCTCCTCAGCCTCAGACCCAGGCCACCTCCTGTCAGATGAGCTGCCAAAAGCCTGTGAGGGCAGGGCATTTACAACCAGGAAGGCCATTTTCACCTTTCGGCCCATTAGGTTAGAGATAGGCCTTGGATTTATGAGGACACTAGTAATTAAGCTTGTCCCTCATAGACCTGCAGGCTGGGTCAGGCTGGGCTGTGTCTCCTGGACAGGCACAGTGTCCAAGTCTGCAGGGGGCTCCCTGTACAGAGGAATGGATGGGATGCTGGGATCCAAGAACCCATTGTCTGCTAGGGACTTGTGGCTCACCCCTGTAATCCTGGCAAAGAGGCAAAAATCTGAGGATTATGGTTCAAAGTCTGGCTGGGCAGGAAAGTCCAGAAGACTCTTATCTCCAATTAACCACCCCAAAACCAGAAGTGGAGCTGGGGCTAAGAATTGGTAGAGGGCTAGCTTTGAGCAAAAAGAGCTCAGGGACAGTACCCAGGCCTCGAGTTCAAGACTGGCACACGCGCGCGCGCGCGCGCACACACACACACACACACACACACACACACACACACACACACACACACACACACACATACACACACACACGAGAGGCGGAGGGCCATTCCCTAGTGTAGTTTTGGGGTCAGGCAGTCATAATTCCAGCTTCCTGGGCTCCTTTTCTGCTCCAGCATTTATTGAGGCAGGCAAGAAAGTTGCGGACCAGGGACTTTAGAACCAGGAAGTAAAAGCAAAGAAAAAGAAAAAACAACAACCCAGAAACCCAGGAAGCTTTTTGTGCCTCCTATGTTAAATTACAAAGTAATTTAAGCATCTACTATCCCTGTGTGTTGGGTGGCTGAGATCACACTGCCATGATTTAGAATAAACAGCACCCATCCTGGCCACCTAGAACCCTGGGCAATGACGAGGGCTTACTAGATGACATGGCTGCATGCATTCTGCCAGCTCAGAAAGTAGGAAAATGGAGGATGAGAGCCACCATCTTGAGTGTTCACTCTGGCTCCCATTCCCCCCTCCTTTATCCCGTCATACTACAACCACCCCTTGCTCACATTCCACTTTGTGAGCCTCTCCTTGCTGGGAGACACTGTGGACCCATAACACGTGTGGATCATGCGTGGATCCCAAGGAGCTGGGAGAAAAACTCTTGCTCTCAGCCATCGCCCTCTTCCGCCACTTATACCTGGGCTGCCTCAGGCCAGGGACCTCAGCTTTCTGTGCCTCAGTTTCCTCGGCTACAGAATGGCAACCGTAGGGATGGCATGAGATATACAGGAAAGCCCTGGGTTCACACTGGGTGAATGACAGTGTAGGTCCATCACAGGGACAATCAGAAGGACAAGGGTAGTTTTTCAGAGGTGCTGGGGAGGGAATCTGGCACATGCTAGGCCCGGCTGTACCATGGAGTCACCCCACCTCTGGCTGCTCAGTTTATTTCAAGGTCTGGGAGATAACACTTTTTGGCAAGAAGCCAAAGTGGTGGGGGTAGGGAGCTTCAGTCTCTCCTACACAGTGTCTCGAGAAAGTTCAGTCGGCTGTGACAGAACACAGGTGAAGCATCCCCTTTACTTTCTCCTGATGGTGTCCCGCACCCCCAGCCCCTCAGGCCCCCAGCCTGCTCTGCCCAGCTGTAACCTGCCCCTCCTAGGGCTCTGCCTGTCCCAGGCCTGCCTTCGTCCACACCTCACAGCAAAGTCCAACATCTCAGGGTAGGGCTGTTCTGATACAGGCCAGGGGGTGGGGCAGGCCAGGAACTCAAGCTATAGTCCTGGGGTTCAGGGTGGGTCTCTCCCTACATCTTGATGAGGGACCTTTATCACGGAGCTCAGGCCTTGGCTGTCAAGGCTACCAGGCAAGGTGCAAAAGGGAATTTGACCTTAGGACTGCCCACAG